TCTCCTGTACTTACTGCCTTATTGGTCCAAGAAGCAGAATGTCCTTGTTGGTAGTGAAATCCAGATGTTCCTGATTATGTGCTACACACATGTCTATCCAGGAAGGGGCGGGGCCTTCTTGTTAAGTGTCTGAAGGGCTGGCTTTGTCATCTTGTAGATGACGTGGGAGTTGTCCCAGAAATCGCTTCGGTCCACATTACCTGAGTACCCGCTGGTTGACTGCCTGGTCTGACCGAGAGCCCTTCAGAGGGGTGGCTGAGCTGTCCCTGGGCAAGGTCTTCTAGTGCAGCTGGGGGCAGGCCTCCCTGGGCCTGTGTCCCTGGCACCTGCCCGAGTTTTCTGGCGGGAAGACCCTGTGAACCCTTTTCTGTTCTCTAGAAATTTGGGGAGCTTGGGCCTGAAAAGTGAAAGAGGGCGAGTCATAACTGGGGTGTGCTTTCCATCCCCACACCCTTTCTTCTCTTTTTCCTCGTGTTGTCTGTCTTTTCCTGCTTTCTCCCTTCTCCCTTCCTTTTTTACCCCTATTAGCACAGGCCCTGCGGTGAGGGAGTCGGCTCATGACCGAAGCCCTGGGTGGAATGGCCCAGGTCCTGGTGAGTGAGTGTTTGCCCCCGGTCCAGTTCAGGCTTGTGACTGTCTAGATGGGACCGACTGGGGCTACAGGGTGCCAACCGCCTGCTGTCCGGCACGGCTCAGCCCGCTGGGCCCTCCCCCGTGTGTGAAAGGCAGGAGCAGGCCAGGCGAGTCGAAAGTGAGGTTCCTTTGCTCCGAAGGCCGTGTCTAGTCGGACACCACGGGGCTCATCGCGCCTGATGGAGCTCCGGAGCCAGCTCTGCCGTCCATCGGGGTGACCCTGAGTGACAGCAGACGAGCATTTCTGAGCTGGGACCTGGGACCTGGGACCGGCCATGCTGTGTGTCTGCAAATGTGGCTCGGCCAGCTGCCTGGCACGGGTGACTGCAGGGCACCTGGAGAGTCGCCCGTGAAGGGCCTCGGGGGACAGGCCTGCTCCCTGCTGCTTGTCTTCTGCCTGTGGCTCATTTTCAGTTCCCGGGCTCATTAAATCACCATTTGGGGACATGAAGTACCCAGTCCCCTCCAGTGGGCTTCCACAGTAGGCTCTCCCGTGGAGGGAGGGGGGAGGGAGGAAAGGAGAAAAGCCGCCCGCCATGGCTGTTCCAGGGTTTGAGAGGAAGGACTTGGGTCGCCTTCTTCCTGTGACATGTTAGGTTCTTGCCACTGTTTCCTCCCAGGCTGAGAACTCGGCAGAGGACGTAAACGTGGGGAGCACTCCTGGCCCCCCCTCCCTCTGGCACGCGCTTTCCGGAGCAGCACGACGTTGAAGTCTGAGCCTGCGCGGGCTCGTGGGTCTCCAGGGGCACTGAGCACACCCACGTGGCGCTGTGCCCACCGTGTCCCATTTCTTCTTGGTGAAGTGTGCTTTTTGCTCTTGGCCACCTGTCACGTGCTGGCGATGCCTTAGATCTGGGTCCTAAACTGTTGTCTCAGCCCTTGCAGCCCCTCCCCCTCAGTGTAGTCTCCGCTTTGTCTCAGGGTTTGGTCCCAGCTGCACACCCTGAAGTCTGCTTTATGGCAACTGAGACATGGAACTGGATTGTCAGGCCCTTGGTTGGGTGCATCACCAGCTCTGGGCCCGGTGGTGTCCTGGTGCCGGTGCCACACTCGTCCGAGAGGCCGACTTTCTTGTCTTCCTTCGATGGCGTATGTGTGGCCTCCCACCTGTGCATCTGTCCTTCCTCGTTAGAGTCGACTCCTCCAGGGGCTCGGGGAGTGCCTGCCTGCCTACCTGTCTGTCCCCTGTGGCCCCAGGTCTGGGTCTTTGCCCTGTGATGTTGGTGTTCTCATCAACCACGTGCCCGGGATCATGCACCCAGGACTTAGTCTGGGCACCTGAACCAGGTAATGGCAGGACCCGGGCCAGTTGTGGAGGGAGCACTGCTTGTCCGCATGTCTTTCTATGTGTCCCTGTCCCAGTGTCCAGTCTGTTCTTGGTGGCCTTCCATTCTTTGCTTCTGCTGAGAGGTGCCTCCCAAACACTGTGCTGCTGAGCTCCCAATGCCTGCCCATGAGGCCTGTCAACTGCCTTCTTGGAAAGCACCTGTTTTTGGCTTTCGTCTTCCTTCTTTAGTGATGAGGCTACTGGGTCTGCTTTCAGTGCCCTGGCGAGTGAGTGGTGGGAGGAGCCATGGGCCGTACTTCCAGCTGTCAGGGCTCTTGCCGCTGCCCCGCCTTCTGCTGCAGGGTCGGTGACCGCCCCCGGCCCCCTGCTCACCACTCTGAGGGGCCTGTGTGCTAGAGACCCTCTTGCTGCTCGCAGGCAGCCTCACACGGGGCTCCTTTCTGGAGAGGCAGCGCGCGTAAGAGTCACCAGTGTGGGCTCAGAACACTTCCCCGCTGGTCTGAGTCGGGCCTCATTCCACAGGAATGTGCACAGGCCAGGGCTGGGCTGAGCTGCAGGCAGAGCCCCTCGCCCTGGCCGGGGGTGTGCCCGGCTCCAGGTTTGCGTATGGAACTGTCACGCTCCTGGCAAATGGCAGTGTTTTCTGGGCTGCCCGCTGGGCCACGCACACGACTCATGTCCTTCTGGTGCTCGTGCAGCATGCCCTCGGCCAGTGCCCACAGACGTGGGCCGAGGCAGCTGGCGTTCAGTGGCTGACGCCCGTGGGAGGCTCCGAGCGCGCCGCCGCGTGTCAGCTTGCACTCTGGGCTTGACGAGGTTCCAGGCACTGTCCAGCTCCTGCCTGGGCAGAAGAGTGTGGTGCTGGCATCATCTCTTCATGGGCTGCGGGGCATTTGGGTCTTCAGGATGGGGGCACACAGCAGCTCTGCCCCAAGTCAAGGAATCTCTACCTGAGCTGGACGCTGCCTTTTGGGCCACGGGGGCTGGAGCTCCCTCGTTTGTGAAATGAGGACTGGCTGGCACTGGGCATCTGAACTACTTCTGGTTCAAGAGTCTCACTCAGACGGAAGCTGCAGGCGGACAGGAGGAAGTGCCTGGAGGAGGACAGTCCGGGGCCTGCACTGGCTGGGGGAGCCGGAGAGAACAGCCTGAGCTCCCTGGGCCACTGCAGGGCGCTGAGCAGGTGCTGTCCCTGCACCTGGGCCCCACCTGCCCGTGGGGAGCTGCAGCCGGGTGGGAGCTCAGGATCAGGGCCTCCGGTGTTTCTGAAGTGTTCACAGTGGGTGAGAAGTCAGAATAAATACATGCTTTCCTGAACTTTTCAGTTTTGAAAATGAATCATTACATTTATAAATGAAATCAATTTCACATTTCTTTTCAGAAGAGACTTGAGACGTATTTCCCCTCGCTGTCCCGCGGTGCCCGTGTGAGTGGCAGGGAAGGTGCTCACGGCCTCAGGCAGCTCACCCCAGCGGTCGGGCCCGCTGGGCCGCGCTCCTGGAGAGCGCCCTCCATGCCAGCAGCTGGGCCTGCTGAGGGCTGGCAGTGGCCTCCACCCTTCTCCTGACTCAGGGGTGTGGCTGTCTTAACCCCCACATGTCCCATCTTCTCATAACTTTTTTGATACCTTCAGGTGGTCACAATTGGGGTGCTGGTGGTGGGAGAAACTTCACTTACCAGCATTCGGTTCTCCGAATGTGCCAGGAACTGCTGTCCCTGCAGGTGCAGTCAGAGCCGCTCCGTCCTCTTCCGTGGGCATGGCGGAGGCCCGGGGGCTCACGCAGGCCCTGAGGAGGGCGCCTTGGAGCCTCACAGGCCTTCTGTCCTTCCTCGACGGTCTTCAGCTCCCAGGAGCACCCTCTCAGGGCTTCTTGGGTCTTGCACGTCTCCAAAGACACGCGGGGTGTTGTGTAACACAATGCGAAGGCTGCGCAGTGTTTCCGTTTGGGGTAAAAAGCACAGTTCCCTTACGGGGTCAGTAAACCTGAAGTTGTTGCTCTGTCATGATTTGAAAGTCCACCTGAGGGAGCTGGTGGCCGCTCTCTGCAACTCGCGGGATCTCCCTTGAACCGGTGACGACGGTGCCTATACGCAGGCCATTTTACGCACTTGTCAGGAGCTAATTTTAAGGAAGTGTGATTCCTGGACGTTTTGCCCGAGTTTTCTTTGTTTCTGTCTGAGAGAATGAGGAAAATCTCAGGCTGGCTCCACGTGGCCTGCTGCAGGTCGGGTGGTGCTGGGCTCCAGGCCCGGCTCCGCAGGGGCCTGAACACAGCCGCCATTCCCAAAACAGTCCACTCTAAACAGGATGTGACGGAAACAGTCCCTTACACCGTCCGTTTCTGGGCAGGTGCTTTCCAAAAGGGTCATGTCTTCCTCCGTTTCCTCGGCTGCCCACCCGCACCCCACGCTGCCTTGAGCTACGCTGCCTCTGGGCTGCTTCCCTGAACAAGCAGGCATGTGCCTGCTCACCCGTGTGCTCGTGGGCGGCGGGAGAGCTCCCCTCTGATGCACACCAGGGCACACGCATGTGCCGGGGCCACTCACCCGTGTGCTCGTGGGCGGCGGGAGAGCTCCCCTCTGATGCACACCAGGGCACACGCATGTGCCAGGGCCGCTCACCCGTGTGCTCGTGGGCTGCGGGAGAGCTCCCCTCTGATGCACACCAGGGCACACGCATGTGCCGGGGCTGCTCACTCGTGTGCTCGTGGGCTGCGGGAGAGCTCCCCTCTGATGCACACCAGGGCACACGCATGTGCCGGGGCTGCTCACCTGTGTGCTCGTGGGCTACGGGAGAGCTCCCCTCTGATGCACACCAGGGCACACGCGTGTGGTGCTGACGGAATTGGCCAGACAGCTCAGCCAGACTTCTGGCCAGAAATTGGCATTTGTCGGTTTGGGAACTTCACCTGGGGACTGTGTTGGTTACTCTACCAAGTGATAGAACTAAATCCATCTTCTTTTAAAGTGAGAAGGACACATGCATTTTCATTGTTAGTGAGGAGTTGCTCCGTGGAGGGCCTGAGTGTAAAGTGTCCTCGTTGCAATTCTGAAGCCCAACGCTCTCTCTGTCCTGCAGATGGACTTTCTGGCCGAGGCCAGCCCGTGGAGCTGCTGAGCCCTGCCCGCGTGGACCACGTGCCCAGCCCTGGTAAGTCGGCACCCCAGCCCCTGGTGCAGCTCCCCAAGGGCTGAGGCTCTGCTTTCTCGGGGGAGCATCGAGAGAAAGGGGTGGGGTTACCAGCTCCATGAGACGGGGGACCTTTTCCTGGGCTGAAGCAGGAGCCTGTCCCGGGAATGAAATGGGCCGCAGCCGGAGGCTGCCCGGTGGCAGAGGCCTGCTGTCCTGTCGCTGCAGCGGCTGTGTCTGGGCTGGAGCTGGGCCAGGAGTCCCACGCCGGGTGTGGCCACAGGGCCATGGGCAGTGATACTGTGTCCACGCCCAGGCTTTGTGGTGGTGAAGAGTCCATGACCTTGTTTTCTCTTTTTTTAAATCCTCACCTGAGGGTATTTTTCCATTTACCATCAGATAGAGTACTAGGGAGGGAGGGAGGGAGGGAGGGAGGGAGGGAGGGAGGGAGGGAGAGAGAAATATCGATGTGAGAGAGACTCGTTGACTGGCTGCCTCCCGCATGGCCCAGCCAGGGCTGAGGACAAACCGCAGCCAAGGTGCGTGCCCTTGACCAGAATCGAACCCGAGACTTATTGTCTATGAGCCGACACTCTAACCACTGAACCAAACCGGCCAGGGCCATGATACTGTGTTCTAAGCTCCTTTTGATTCTTTAACAAAAAAGCATCAACGGTGTTGATAAATCTTTCATTCCGTATATGATATTTCTAAATACTGGGCTTTCAGAAAAGGCTTCCGAATCTACATGGCCGTGGGACTTTCCTCTTCCCTTGCTCTGCAAACATCCCCCGTGGTGCCCCACAGGTGTCGGCTGAGTGGCGCTGCTTGTTCACAGGCACTGGCCTCACCCCGAGGAAAGGGCCCCGAAGGCCCGCATGCGCGCTGGGGGCACTCGGCCCTGGCCGCGCTGCGTCCTGAGGCCTGTCTCTGTGGCCTTCGCTCTGTGCCAGGCTGGGGTGGGGGTGCGCCGACCCCTCCTCTGCCCTGCCCATCAGACCCTCTCATCCATCGCCTCCCCCAGGCCCCTGAAGAGAAGGCGAAGCTCGGAGCGAGGCTGTGAGTGTCCGAGGGGCTTCTTCCTGGCACGCGGTCCTCTGAGGTCCGCCAGGGTCGCCGTCGCCTTTCCCCACAGAGCTGGGCGTCCTCTCCTCCCGGGAGGTGCTCATCCGGGCTCGGGCTTGGGCTCGGGTCCTGCAGGGTGCTGGTCTCTCTCCGGCTCTCCCACTTCTGTCCTCTCCTTGATGGTGCCGATTCCGCTTCTCCGTGTCCCTTTGTGTCAGCAGAGTCCTTGAGACTTGGACGTTGTGAGACAGTTTCCTGGTGCCCACCTAGGTGTGGGACGGAGCGAGGTTTTCAGGGAGCTGACAGATTGTGAGGAGGTGGTGAATGCGGGTCGTGTCCAGGTAGCTGGAAGAGGTGGGCTTCAGGCGAACCTGCACCAGGGCAGCCACCGCTGAGACCTGGCGTGGGCTGAGGGCTGGCGTGGGCTGAGGGCTGGCGTGGGCTGAGGGCTGGCGTGGGCTGAGGGCTGGCGTGGGCTGAGGGCTGGCGTGGGCTGAGGGCTGGCGTGGGCTGAGACCTGGCGTGGGCTGAGGGCTGGCGTGGGCTGAGGGCTGGCGTGGGCTGAGACCTGGCGTGGGCTGAGGGCTGGCGTGGGCTGAGGGCTGGCGTGGGCTGAGGGCTGGCGTGGGCTGAGGGCTGGCGTGGGCTGAGGGCTGGCGTGGGCTGAGGGCTGGCGTGGGCTGAGGGCTGGCGTGGGCTGAGGGCTGGCGTGGGCTGAGACCTGGCGTGGGCTGAGGGCTGGCGTGGGCTGAGGGCTGGCGTGGGCTGAGGGCTGGCGTGGGCTGAGACCTGGCGTGGGCCTGAGACCTGGCGTGGGCTGTCCCCTAGCCTCCTGCAGAGGTAGAGCGTGGGCTTCGGCGCGGTCGGGGCTGACCAGCCTTCCCTTCCCTTCCCATCCCACCTCTGTGTAGATGCCCCTCGGTCCCCATTGTGCTTTTCCTCGTTTTACTACAAAGGCGTCTGTCCTGGAGGGAGCAGACGTGCCCGTGTGTCTACACCTGCATGGCGGCGGCTGTCCCATCACTAGTCTTTCAGGTGAGCGTCTTGCTTCCTGGGTTTGAAGCAGTGACGCACATCATGGTGGGCCGCAGCCTTCCTCTTCCCAGGGGCCACTCATCACCCCTCCCGAGTGGGGCCGGGGCAGATTGGGCTGGGTGGGTGTCCTGTGGAAGCCAGGTCCTCAGCTCAGTCAGGTGGGGGATGCCGGGGTTCAGGACAGGAGGTGACGATGGTCACCCGGGGGAGCAGACACGGTCAGGCCCCACACCCCCTGCGCTGTGTGCTGGGTGTGGGGACATAAAACGGTCGGTTAAGTCCTTTGTTTCTGAATCATTGTAATTTTTTTTAAGTAAGAGTTTTTCGTTAATTATAAAAGTCACCATGTTTATTATAGAAAAGAGACATCGCACCGAATGTGTGGGGTGCTGGTTTCCAGCACCGAACGGGAGCCGCGGGGCGCGGGCAGTGTAGGTGCTCACCAGCCTGACGGGTGAAGGGCTCCAGGAGAAGCCAGCCGTCCCGGAGCCGGGGGCGGGGCAGAGCCTCAGGAGCAGCAGGGCACACACAGGGCACACACCGGGCACTGCTGTAACTGGGCACCACGCCAAGGGTGCCGTCCGCCACTGCGGACCCACAGCAGCTCTGCTGGGAGGACCACAGGCTCCTCCCAGGCGTGTCCCTGTCCCAGGGCTGCCAGGCAGGTGTGCAGTGGGCAGGACCCATCTCCGCTGTCCAGGGTGCTTCTGGGGAAAGAAGGCCTCAGGAAACGGCCTGCCCCTGGCGCAGGAGGGGAAGTGGCCCTGGCTTCGGGCGGCTGCGCCCAGGGAAAGCCGCGTGCAGGCGGCCGGGTCCGACGGGCTGGCCTGTCGCCCTCCACGTGTGCCCTGTGACGCGTGTCCTGTCAGCGAGCGCGGGGCTTCCCCTCCAGCTCTGCGACAGGCCGTTGTTAAAAGGGAAGTGTGGAATCTTAAAGCACTACAGACACTCTAGAAAACGTATCCAAACTAATTAAAAAAGTGAGGTTTGGCTTTAGCCGTGGGTTCCCAAACCTTACAGGGTGCTGGACCACCGCTCTGTCAAAGGGTTATTGTTTCTTGACACGCCTTTCGGGTGTGTGAGCAGGAGCTGTTTGAGGGTCGCTGGCTCTAGAGCCTGTGGCCTCCCAGCAGCTCTGACGGCACCATGGTCTCGGGAATCCTGGGCCACCCTCCTCCCTGGGCCGGAAGCTGTCAGTGACCTCAGACAGACCCCTGGGGATGGGGCCTGAGCTGCATCCTGGATGGCACAGTCAAGGGCAGTGGCCATCTCTGATGGCTCCTGAGGGGGACCCTGCAGTGCCAGGCAGCGTGGGCGGGGAGAGGGCATGCCATGGTTTCCTCATGCTGCTGCCCGGCTGGGCTCCCGAGCCGCCACCTGCTTCTGGCTGAAGGAGCTGTCGCTCAGGAAGGAGCTTCCTTCCGGCACTGGCTGTGGGGGGGTGTGGGCAGGGACACAGGGCACGTGTGCACACTGAGCGTGTGCAGCACAGCGCCATCTGCCTAGCGGAGCACTGAGAATTCCCCTTCCCTCCACGAGGTCCACGGGGCGTGGGGCGGGGCTCTGGGAACAGCCGTGACCTGCAGGCTGGTTCAGAGTCTGGAGCAGATGTGGCTGTGGGACCCGAGTGCAGTTGCAGCTCGGTCTGTGGGTGCTTTATGAGTTTCTGGAAATGCCCGAGTCACTTTGGGGAACAGGTGAACTAGTCGCGAACAGCTCTGGACTAGAGGGTACCGTCCTCTGCCGGCTTCGTCACCACCTGCTTCGTGGGCGGTGCCCAGGAGCCCAGGGTCTGTGAAGGTGCGACCTTGCACGGCCTGCGCTGTCAGACGCCCTCCCCGCCCTCCTGGCCGAGCGCCCTGGGCGGTGCTGTCTGGCAGCGCCAGCGGCTGCCTCCCCTGAGCACCGCGGTCTGCTTTTCTGCCCCTTCCCCTCCCGCTCACTGGGGCGTGCTCCACCCCCTCGCCCCATCCTTGAGCTGTGAGTGAAGGGTCAGGGCCAGGCCCAGCTGAGCTGTGGCCAGGCGGTCAGCAGACCCGGGCAGCAGGGCTGGCCTGCCTCCGACTGGTGGCGTGGCTTTAGCAGGCGGCCTGTCCTGAGCCCAGCTGTCTTTCTGGCATCAGGCGACTGGGAAGCGCAGCTGCTGTCCTGGCCGAGGCGACTCTCCACCCTCTTGTGTTTCTGGTGCCCTCTGGCTCGGCCTCCCCTCGCCAGCCCGGAACCCTTCGTGACGCCACTTAGGACTCCCTGCCTAGAGTGGAGCAGACACCGGGCAGCGCAGGGACGCCCGGCAACTACCGCCTTCACGCGGCGTGAGGGCCTCTCACGGGCCCGGCCCTGCTGTGCTGGGAGCTCGCAGGCGTGCAGGTGCGCCCACAGGCCGGAAGCCCGTCTGCTGCCCGGTGCAGGGCCACGCACTGCTGGACGCGACACGTCCCACCACAGGCCTCCTGCCAGCAGCGGGCCGAGGTGACTGCAGTGGCGGGGACGGTGTGTTGCTGGGTGCCACAGCGCTCCCCTGCGGCCCGTCCTTATCTGGGCGTGGTGACCCCCGGCGTGGTTGTGAAGTGAGTGGCATTTGCCCTCTGATGACGATGGGACCTGCTGCCTGGCTTGTCCTGTGGACACCAGCCTGCAACTGTGAATGTGACCAGGCCCAGGGAAGTGTCCCTTGGAGCACTGCAGCCAGTCCCCTGCCTTTCCAGGGGACAGGGCTCCGTCTCTGGGGCTGGGGTCCCGACCCTGCCTGCCCCGGCCTGGGTGTGATTCGGTTCCCTGCGTCCGGTGAGGCCCGTGCCCGCTTCTCACCGTGTTCCCTGACTTCGAGGACGTGTTCTCTGCGTCTGTGTGGGTGATTGTTCAGTAGCCCTCCTGCTGTCCTGGAGGGGTCCTGGGTTGCGGGGACACGTGGTGGTGTTCAG